CAAATATGACAGATTATGAAGGGCGTGTAACGCTGTGAATTAGAAAGTCTTTCTACTTTTATACTTATTAATAATTTCCTTTTTTTTTTAAAAATAAAAATAAATAAAAAAAATAATAATAATAAATAAAACAATAATAATAATCATCTTAAATGCAATTTAATCTTTTTTTGATGGTCTACACGAGAGTTACATTACTTGAAATGAATAACTTGTTGCCTAAAAAGAAAAAAAAAAAAATTTTTTTTCTTTTGATTAGGCGTAATAAGAGATACTGTAAAAAGCTTTATTTGCATACATCATTATATCATACTTACCAATAAGTAATGCGTTAATAACTAATAATTTTTTAAAATAAAATAAAATAAATTTTAAATTTTCCTTCTTGTATAAATCTATTTATTTCTTATGTTATAAATTAACATTGTCCATTATTATTGGTTAATGCGAATGATGCGCAGCACATCTCGATGCGTTGTATAATTAGTACACATGGGTTTTGTTTCAGAACTAAAGATCATTTAATTAGGATGGTAGGAATGCTCATCATTATTCCTAAGGAAATCATGGTTCGTCAATGAATGAAGGAGAAATTATGTTTCATTAACAGAACAATCGAATAAGTCGCATTTAATTTTAGAGGAAAAAGAGCGTAATATAAATAATGAATATTTTTTCTTTACTTTTTTTTTTTTTAAGCAATCACACCAAATGACTAATAAAATAATGTAAATAATGTTTACAGTGATTAACAAAGTACACGCGTGTATCACTTATGGCAATGTACATAACAAGGTAGATAACAAATAATTAAAGAAAAAAAATTGAGTTGAGCGAAGAAATTATGAATAAAGACTATTGAAATGCAAAATTCTTTAAAAAATTTTTATAATTCCAAGATAACCAAAAAAAAAAATCTTTTTCCCCTTCTATCTTATTTAATAAAATTAATACATCCCCTTTGAAAGAAAATTATTCTAATAATAAATAATCCATTAAAAAATTATTAAAAATTAACATAAATTATCTCGTTATTTTAATTTTTTCCAAAATAATCAATCTTATTTAATAAGTCCATCGAATAAATTCTCTGTGAATAATCTAAGTATTAAATAAATGCAACTACCAATGAATCTGACACCGGCTAAACCTGCGACGCTCCAAAGTATAAAAGCGAAATACGTGTTAGTCCTTGTTGTATTATCACTAAAATCGGCTAAAACAGGGCTAACTTCCGTTATAGCTGCAATTAAAATTCCATTTGAAATTATCCAAAAGAATACAACATAAGTTCTAAACATTGCATTTGATTCTTCTCGCAATTCTTCTTTTTCCTCCACGGAAATATTTTTTTTATCTTTTGGAGGTTGTCTTTTAGGAACCGACAATTCTGATTGAACTCGTTCATATTCTTCATTAATATCTTCTGGTAAATCTACCTCGGCTGTTGAATCCTGTTTTTTGGATACAGTGCCAAGTTTTTCTGCCTTGGTATCTCCTTTCGTTCCCCAACTAAAAAAAGGGGAAAAGAAAAAGGTTGTTAATATTTTTTTTTTAAAAAAAAAAAGAAATCATGTACATATATATAAACTACTTTTTCGCCACTTTCAACTTACCTAACATCATGAATATTACAAAAAGCATAAACATTTAAGACATTAAGATAAAAAGGTACTAGCATCATATATTGTACACTACTATGAAACATATGATAAGGTTCAAAGAACAAGAAACTAGCGATCAGGTATAACCCATAAGTACTTAATAATGAAATTATAACATTTTTAAACGTAAAGTCCCCAAAAACTGCGTTTACACTTGATATATTTCCGTCAAGTGGTCCCAAATTTCCTAAAGCTATACTAACTCCTTTATAAGTTAACCATCCTGCCGCAAACAACATATAAATCATTAAACCTGCAAAAAAATATGTAGATAATACATATGCCCATTTTGCACTACATGAGATAGAATTGACACGTTAGTTATAAATGCATGCAAAAATAGCATCAAGAGTATAGATAAATGCACACCTTCGTGGTTTATTACCCAAAGCTAATGCGAATTGTAAAATCATTAATGCTATGTAAAAATAATTTAACAAATTAAATATTATAGCTCCAGTTTGAGGTGACCAAAGTCCTTCAATAGCTTCGTCTTGTGTAAGTGATTTTCCCAAAATATAAAATGTCAGGTAGAAATTTCCCTACAATAAAAAGAACTATTTACTAATGTGCAAGTTACAAGGTTTTTTTTTTTTTTTAAAAAAAAAACAAATAAGGCAATAAATTTTCTTGTTCTTTATATTAAATAACTTACCAAGGCGAACCAAGAGAAGAGTAGAGTAAAACTCTGATAAAACATTTCAATTGCTAATAAAGTTTTTCTCAAAGTTGTATGATCACTTCTCCAAATATTAAAAGTATGGCAAATAGCAAAGACTCCAGCAAAGAAACTTCCATTTAACCAACGACGACGTTGAGAAATCAATTCGGTAAAAGTGTCAGGCACATCAGTTTCTGCATAAGCTGATTTGACATAATGTAATAACCAAGAACTCTTTCGTTTTGAAACTAATTCAAAACAAAGAATACGATCTTCTGCCAAATACATATTTGCTGTGAACAAGCCAGTCTTTATTTCGTCCTTTTCTGCTTCTTCTTCAGGCTTTTCATTACCATTGCTTATTTTTTTCTTTTTTGGTGGACCACCTCCGTGGTGTCTTTCACCCATAAAATAAGAAGCTAATGGACCAACTTCTTCATTCGTGACTGGATCAATTGAATTTTCCAATGCGACATAACGATAAGCAGAAAAGGCACCAGGTAATACAGTAATATACCCGAACACTGATTCTAAAGGTTTATCTAGGATATTTGACATCTTATATTCAAAATTTTGAGAAGCTACAAGAGGATTTAATAAATATTTTCCACCTTTCCCTTTCATAGCAACAATTTCACCACAAGCACCTCCAATATAAGGATTCTTATCAAAAGCTTTCCATAAATGATAAATCGAACTTCCACCAGGTCTAGTACCAACATCCAATAAAACACAAACATTTGGACGTAAAATTCTACCAAAAGCATTAAAAAACCATCTATGAGAATTAATCTTCTTTTGGTTCTTTTCTTTGAGACAAAATAATATTTGAATTGGAGTGTACTCATATTCGGAACCTACTAGCTTCATATCAGGATCAAGACAAAGTTGCGTCGTATATTCGAAGATATGTGCAGTCACATCTTCGTCAAAAACTTTTTCTTTTGCAAGTCCACTTTGATATACACCTATAGCCGCTAAATAATCTTGCGTGCGTTTATTAATCTTATTACGTCCATCCGAGACAATGCATACAACCACCTTTTTCCATCCATCCTTTCCCCATATTCGTGATCTTTCTCGCTTACATAATCTATGAATATTTTTTACTACTCCTTGAAACGTACGTGCGAATAATTTTTCATCTTCATTATACATTGTAGTTACAATAAATAATTCGGTTTGTCTTCGAGGTTCAGCAAGTTCTTGTCTAAGAGTGTATTTGTTTTCTTTAAATTCATTAGGGTCACACGTACAAGCGGTATATCTAACATGAGTAAATTCTCTACCGCTTTTTTCAGGAATTAAAGACAATAACTTGGAAGGTACAGGACATTCGATGACGAAATTCCCTTCATATAATTTAACCTGTTGAGTTTTGTAACGACGTGGTTGCACTTTTGGAGCTGAACCATAATGTTTTTCTTTCACATGTTCTGGTGGTTCAATATTTATTACTTGTTCTGAACTCGTTTGAGACGATGATGATGAATTTAGCTGTGATGGATATTGCGGATAGGTTGAAGAATTTGAATTTGGTGGTTGAGGTTGCGGGTAAGTTTGTTGTGGTGGTGTTGTTGGATATTGTGGATATTGTGGTGGTGGTGGTGGTGGTTGTTGAACGTTTGCCATAAATGGCTGAGGTTGAGGAGGAAATCCTCCCTGTTGTTGAGGCATAGGAAATCCTCCTTGTTGTTGTGGATATCCTCCTTGCTGCTGTTGTGGATACCCTTGTGGGTATCCTCCTCCTTGTCCGTATCCAGACATTTTATTTCTAGGATCTCTTTTTTTTTTTTAAAAAAAAAAAAAATAATAATATCGATTAATTTAATTTAATTGAATTTAACCTATTTTCTTCTTTCATAAACCACAATCGTAAAAGGATTGTTTTTCATTAAAACAATTCGATATATATATGAAATTAAGGAAAAAATGAAAAGTCCCCTTTTTTTCCTCAAAAGAAAATTCCAAAATGGATTGCCAAGACAAATTGTCTTTTATGGCCTTACAATGACAATCAAACCCATAATGGTCTAACCTTTCATGGTATTACATATAAAATGAAATATAAATATTTATCATGTACACCCGATTACAAAAATCTATTCCAATTTTTTTTTCACTAACGAAAGTAAAAATTCAGCCTGATTGCTTATCACAATATTATAATGTTCAATGGTAATCACGTGGTTACTTTGTTGTTACCGAAGTAAAATTGATTTTGTTGGTTTTTTTTTGTATAAATAAATAGATGCAAGCCTTTATCCATTAAAATATTACTATATTTGGAGCTTACAAAATAACGGGATCTGCGATCAATGAATTCTGAGAAACAATAATGGGGAAATGTATTTCTCAATACGTATGCAGGGAATTTCTACAAGAAACTTAGCGGAACGTAATTATGATGAATTACATCAACGTAAAAATAATGAATGAAAGGATGATTGATTTGATAAAACAATTCCGAGTTTGAAATTAATTAATTAATTATACAAGCCTGATGATACGTAATATCGATATTCTGGCAGAGTATATTATTTGCATCAACTTTGATCCTCTATCCAGCTCGCCTTTTCTCCTTGATTTCATCTCCTTGTTCGCAAAGAGGGCTACGAAAGGTCCTTATAATAAAATTAACACGATCTTTGATTTGTAACATAAAAAAAAAAAATATGGCTACTACGGAACCTTGTTTTACCTGTATTTCTTATAGAACTCAGCTTGAACAAAAAGAAGCTATTATTGCAAAATATCAAAAGGTCGTTCAATTTCAACACGAACTTATTCATGAATTATCTATCAGTCAAAAAATTACTACCAAAGATACGGCTTCCGTTACAACCAATGATGAACCTGCATTGACTGCTGTTCGCGAAAAATGTGGGTTTTACAACTTTTTTTTTTTTATTTCTTTTTAAATTTCATATTTTGAATTGATTCTTGCTTCATATACATATATTGCTTTAGCCAATCGAAACTACTATCGCACTTACGTTGGACCTTTGACTGGCGAAGTAGATAAAGCATCATTGAAGCAATGCCTTGAAGAATCATTTGGTCCAGTTGATACCATTGATTTTATCCCCGGGAAGGTATGTATCAGTTGAGAATATCTCTTAATATTTTACACAAGTATCACGAGATCAATATTAACTTAAAATTTTTATAAAGTCCTGTGCCTTTGCGAATTTCTTTTCTCCAACCGCGTATCATAATGCCATAAGCGAAGGTGCTATTATGGTGAAGGGTATTGTCTTGAGTGTTGAACAAGCCAAAAAACCAAGATTTCGTTATTCCAAGAAAAAGTTGTCAACATCATAAACGGGTGGCATATTTTTGACACGTACTATTTTTGAATTTGTGAATTTCGGTAATAGCGTCTTTTGATTCTTAATCCATTTCCTCCATACAATATAATTTTCGCGAAAAATTTATTACTTTATATATCAAATTAATTAAACCATATTCGGACACTATTAAATTGGTAAAAAGATGAATTAAATATTAATTAGTAATTACTTTCCTTGGATGACAAAATAAATATTATCTTTCTTTCGAACATTAAAATAAAAGCTTCTTAATATTAAACTTGATCACCGTTAATTATAATTGTTATGAACCTAAAAGTAAAGTAATTTCAAAAAAAAAAATTACTGAATATTAAAAGATTTTCAAATTTATTAAGCCAAATCAAGATCACTTTCACTGTTAATCCTCATTAATTTTAAATATAGAGTAATTATCCGGTATCACGTGATTTTCACGGTTTTTTTATAATTGACGATCACTTTAATAAATCGTGTATTTAGTTCTTATATTGTATAAGCATTATTCCATATTACAATATAATATAAAATCAATTGTTTATAAATTCCAATTACTATAGTAATGTTTATTTATAATTATATGTTTCCTTTTTTTCTTTTTATTATTAATATTAAAAATGTTCAGAAAATTCTTGTAATGAATGCTTGTTTTTCTTATTTTTTAATAATTCCGAAGCCTTGCTGAAACCAGATGTAGTAATTTTATTATTCTGTGTCTCATCATCCTTTATTTCATCAGTTTTAGGTTAAAATTGAGTATTTCTTCAGTTATTTGTTGCATAACTAAATTAAGAATTTTTTCTTTTTTTCTTTTATTACTTTAAGGTAATTACATATTTCAGCTGATGAATTATGACCAGAAATTGCCATTGCTTCAACTTCTTCATTTTCAGCATCAAATATATTGATTATATCTCTTTCTGAATGATTAGAAATATTTATTTTAAATAAGTAAATACAATCAGATTTCTCTAAATACATTCTCTATAAATTTACATTCTATTTAATGTATACAATGTTTTAGTCTTAAGCTTGTGATTTAAATGCTAAATGCATCCATTAAGTTCTACATGTACAAGAAGTTTTCAGTCCTTTTATATAACAACTCTATCTCTAAATGCATGTCATATGATTATTCTATAAAATAATAAGACTAGTATTAATGTTAGAACATTTAAAAGTAATGTTAAAATGATTTTTTTTAAAAAAATAAGTTAACTTTTGTAATTATAAATTTCAAATATTAGATCATTTAGAGGTGAGTCATAAATAATTTAATATTTATTTTTTTTAATCAAATCAATAATTAATAATGAAAGAAATTATTTTAAAAAAATTTTTTAATAAATAGGATAATATATTATTTAGTATAACTTAAAAATTAAAATCCTGTTAGGTAAATCTAACTAATTTTATTTATTATACTAATGTAATATCTTTAATACATAAAAAAAAATAAAATTATAGTTATTATATTATAAAAAATTTGTTAAAATATATATTTTTCATTAATGCATCTCTTTTTAAATACATTCTTATTCTTATTTCTAAAGAGATACATTTAAAAAGATTTGACTATATCATATGTAATGCAGATTTCATAAAATATTTTTCTAATCTATTTTTTATTAAATACTTGATTATGATGCCATTTTTTTTAAAAAATTGCTAATAAAAAAGTATTAAAATTCTATTACAGTCAACTCTTGATATAGCGAACTCTTGATATAACGGATTTTTTGAATAAATATAATAAAAATACTCTTGTTATAATGAATTGGCCAATCAAATATCTTAAAATCTTTACTATAATCTTATAGCGAAGTTGAGGTCTAAGATATAGAGTTTATTATAACAAAAGTTGACTGTAATTTAATATAAAATAATTTATTAATTTAATTTACTTGTTAAATTCTCAAATAAAATAATTAATTTATACAATCTAAAGGTCTTATTAAAATATATTTGTATTAGATTCAGCATTGCTTTTAATATCTGATAAAAATAATATTTTAAAGGTATTTAAATTTCTTCTAATTCTTCTTAATCATTTTTTTGATGAAATTTTCTAAAGATAAATCTATCTTTTGTATTTTTAAATTGATTAATTTGTAAATTATAATTTTCATCATTTTATAAATATCCTAATAGACAAATATATAAGAAAACTCTTTTAAGTAATCCTTTAAGTTTATTTTCATATGCTATCAAGTATAATATATAATTTTAAAAATTATTTTTATTTAATAGATTATAATTCTATTATGAAATAATATCTTTAAGCTAACAGCTTATTAAAGTAATTTTATTTTTAATGAAGCTCTTGAATATAATTTATTAGTTTTTATTTTTATTCTCTATACAAATTCATAAATTCTTTCTCAATTTGTTTTTTAAAAAAGTAACTCTAATGTTTAATTATATCTAATACTTTTAAAGTTTTATTAAGAATTTATAATATTAATATATTTTTTAATACATTTGATTATATTAAGTGGAATATAAATTTGTTACATTCAAATAAATCTTTCAAACTATTAATTTAAAGATTAATAAATTTATTAGTTATTAATCTTATAGTAATTTGAGAAATTTATATATTTAAATATTAATATTCTTATTAAGTTTACTTGTCTAAACTTATTTTATATTTGATAAAATATTTAAACTTTAGTTTTATTAATTTTTTACATAGTTTTGATATAGTTTTACATTTTTATAAGCTTTGATATATTTTTATTTTTTCTAAAATTTTTAATATAATTTTGCTAAAATTTACCTTTTTTCATTTAGACAATTTGCAAAACCTTAAGATTTTGTCTAGTAATCTTAATTTTTATATTATTAAATTTATATTTTCTATTATTTGATTACAAAAAAAAATTTAAAGAAATAAATTTATAAAAAAAAATTTTAAAATATATCTAAAGAAAAATAAAATTTATAATAAAATGTTAAAAGTTTATTATAAAATTTAAAATTATGTGAAATCATGTGACATTAAATAAATAAATTATCTAGTATTTTTAAGCTGAATAACTACTGTTACTTATAAGGTAGCTAATAATATAGGAAATCAAATTTGATTTGTGATTTAAGACTTTTGTAAAGCTTTAAATCAACTATTCAAATTTGATTTACCTAATATAATAATTATTTAGCATAAAGTGTTGAATATTATTAATTTTTTTTAATATAATAAATCTAAAAAGTAAAAATTCTTATTACATATGGATTATCAACCAAATTAAACTAAAATTATTAAAATTTTAGTTGATTAATAAATAAGTTTATATTTTTCAATTATAGATATCAATTCATCTTATTAATTTTAGTATTAAAACTCAAAAATAATTAATAGATAAAATATCTAATTTCTAACATTTCTATAAGTTTATTTTTTTTATTAAAATATTAATAGTATTTAGTATTTTATTTTTATTTAAAGTGTATACAAATATTATAATAATAATTTTAATTCTCAAAACATAAAGAATTTTTTAAAAAAAAATCTGCTTCACATTAATAATTTTAATTTTACATCTTTTAAATATTAATTATTAAAATTAACGATATATATTATGATATTATTTATATATTTTAAAACAATTAAAATTTATTATTTTATTTTATTTTATTTTATTTTTTTAATATATATCATTATATTAATAATATAAAATAGTAATTTAATTTTATTATTATTTATTTTATTAATAGTAAGATAAATTTTTATAACTTAAAATCAGTGTGTAAAATTCATGTGTATAATGTGCACATTACACAGCATAAAATGTGCACAAATAATTACTAAAAATAGATAAATAATATATAAAAATGGATAAATTATTTATAAAAATGGAAATACTATGTAATACATGCATTAATTTTCTATTTAGTACAACTTGTGCACATGACTTTTGGTTTAAATTCTTAAAATTATTACAATTCAAGCAAACAGTTATTATATTTATATAAAATTACTTTACAATAGCTAAGGTTGTTGGACAAAACCTAGAGGTTTTGCAAGTCGTCTATAGGCAAAGCAATCCATTATTGCTGTAGCAAATCTATCTGTAAATGGAAAAAGGTAAATTTAACGAAATTATATTAAAACATTATTAAAAATCTGGAAAAGGTAAAACTATATCAAAGCTTATAAAAAATGCGAAACTAGTAAAATTAGCGAAACTATAGTTTAGACGCCAAATCTATAGCTATTAATGCATATTATAATATTTAAATATAAGAGTAATAAATATACTATAGATAATAATAATATTTAAATTTTCAATATCTAATTCGTGTTGCTGTCTTTCTACTTTTTCTTGATATCAAAAATTGTATTAATAATTTTGATGTGGCTAATAATTCCCAAGATCAAGAGAATTTCAAATATAAACAAACGACTATTGGCACGAAATTTTAAGAAATGAAAACCTGTTTGAAATTAAAGACAACAGAATTTGCAAGTCCCGTTTGTTACACGTAAATTTCATTTTTAAAATGATATATAGAGGTCCGAATTGGTCATTGATTGATAATGATTATTCGATTTAATTTTTTTTGATTTATTCTAAAAATTATCGCTACTAACGTATCAGTGTTCCATAAAAAGTGTAGATATCTTTTCAGAAAAGTCTTGGATATTATCGGCTGTCCCGTAAATCTTTAAATTAACCATTATTTTTTTTTTAGTTGATTATTTTTGCGGATGTATGATACGGACGGTAATATTTTGATGGTGACTCGAAATTAGTATTATTTAATCAAAATGGCAAAGAAATGAATATCCGAATGTGTGGTTATCCGGTTATCATTGATAATCGTCCAATCGAATATAGTAATCAGTTGGTCATTTCGGAATTCTAATAAAGATATCAAGTTTACAAATAATTTAAATAATTTGGGGGGAAGGAATTAATTTAACAACCCTTTTTTTTTATTATTCCCACAACGAAATCTTTGTAAATTGAACGGGTAATAGAGGCTCAACCGTTAGAAATTTTCAGAGTAAATACTTTTCACAATGTCTGGCTTTCTTGGTATTCCACTTTTGGTTATGACTGATTCGTATAAAACGTCTCACTCGTTTATGATACCTGAGGCTAAAAAGGTTTTTAATAATTTTTTCTAGAAATATTTGTAGTAAAGAAATGTGCGAATTCAAATAAATAAATAAAAATCTCTTTAGTGTATTGCATATGGCGAGTTTAGGAAAGGATATGATGGTGATAAAGAAGATACGCGTATTTTATTCTTTGGAATCCGATACATGTAAATTTATCATATTTTATATTATAATTTTTATTTACTAAAATTTTTAAATTTGAATGAATTTTGTAAATCAAAAAATAAAGAATTGAAAATTATATTGCGATCAAATGGACAAAAAAAGATGTCGAGTTGTCAGAAAAATTTTTTGCAACTCATAATGCAGGATTTACGCCTTTTCCGTTTCCAAAAGATTTGTTTATAAAGGTAATATTATTTAACATGTTAACTTTATAATTTTGAATCACAATCTGACAATTATTTAAAAAAATCTTAGTTTATCGAAGAGAACGATGGATATTTTCCAATAAAGATTGAAGCTTTACCAGAAGGTACCTCGTGTCATGTACATACTCCGGTTTACCAAATCACGGCAGAGAACGAATATGCGCCATTAGTTACATATTTGGAAACTTTAATTACTATGATTTGGGTAAATTTTTATTTGAATATGTTTATAATCTAAAAATAAAAAGACATCAGAATTTTAATAATGGTCTTGTACAATTCCTTTGTTAAGTATCCAACAACAGTTGCAACACTTTCGCGTCGTGCACGTGATCTCGCCGAGGATGCTTATCAAAAAACGGTCGTTGATGCTGGAAATACGACAGTGGATAGGTGCATATTATGTCGAATTTTTTTATAATTATCTAACATCGGCATATTTTAAAATCATTAAATATTTATGATTTAGTCGACTGCATGATTTTGGATTTCGAGGATGTACTTGTATTGAGCAATCGATTATTGGCGGTGTAGCTCATTTGGTTTGCATACGAAAAGAATAATTTCTTCTATAATAATGTTTCTGATAATACATAATGAATTTTCCTTATATAATTTAGTTGAATTTCTGTGGAACAGATACCATGAGTGCTGCTTATTATGCTCAGTTCACTCTGAATAATGGCAAGCCTATTGCGACTTCAGTTCCAGCGACCGAACACTCGGTCATGATAGCTCACAAAACAGAAAGAGTATGTTGTAACACATATATTTTTTACTTAACATGTTTCTGGTTATGATCAATCTCACGACATTTTTACAAAAAAAAAAAAAAAAAAAAAAAAAATGAAAAGGACGCGATTTTACAGGAAATTAAAAAGTTTGGCACTGGAGTTTTTGCATGCGTATTGGATTCTTTTGATTATGTCAATGCGTTGGAAAAAATTCTTCCGTCAATTGCTAAACAAAAAGTTGAAGCGGGTGGATTTATGGTATTAAGACCCGATAGCGGTGATCCAGTCGATAGTGTATTAAAGGGTCTAAGGTAAATATAATTATAGGAAAGATATTGATAAAGTCATCTATTCTTATATGATTTTATTAATAGGGCCGCAGATAAATTATTTGGTAGTGACGTTAATGGCAAAGGGTATAAAGTATTACGTAGGGCTGGTGTCCTCCAAGGTGATGGTGTGTCTATCAAAGCTATAAAGGATATTCTGGATGCAACGAGAGAAGCCGGTTATTCCGCTCAGAACGTTACATTTGGAATGGGAGGTGGTTTATTACAAAAACTTAATCGGGACACTATGAGTTTTGCCACCAAACTTTGTCATATTACCTACGCTGATGGACATAAGAGGTATAATAACAAAATTTTTGAAGAAATTTAAGTTTTACGTATCTTTCATATTTTAAATTAAACAGGGACATTATGAAAACACCGAAGTCCGACTCTGAAAAAATTAGTTTGCCGGGCGAATTTGTCGTTAAAAAGAATAAGCAAGGAGTTAGTATTTATATATTCATATTATTAAGAAAAACATTATGCCTATATTATTAAACACGTGATATTTTTCTTTAGGTTCCAATCGTTTATCCTAAAGAAAGTTTTCCAGAAAATGATCCAGACAATTTATTAAAAGTTGTTTATGATCATGGTAAAATATGTGAATGGGAAGACTTTGACACCATTAAGAAGCGTGTTGCAAATGAATGGCCAGTTCTACCACGTACATATGATAATATTAGTCCCGAACTTAAGGTTAAAATTGATAAAACCATAAAGGAAATCATAAGTTCTCAACAATGAGAAATTTTACCCAAATAACCACCATGGGCTTATATCATTATTTATAAATTATTTCATTAAAGTTAAAATTTACGATTGAGAAATAAATGTGAAATTACTTCCACGTAATTACGTTCTTGTGTAGCAACGATCGGCTGCAGGACGACGTCGTTTATTTTAAAATCTGCCCTACTTTCTGCGGCTTATAATCGTCATTTCTGCTGCTCATTTCGGCGAAATCAAAAATAAATTTTTATACCAAAAAAAAAATTAATAGCCATTAAATACATCATATTTAAAGAATCTTCTGAAAGATTTTGACGATTATTATCTAAATTATTATTATAAATTGAGAAACTTCTTTCTACACTACAACTAGACACAATATAATATGACACACACGATCTACTAAATTCTGCGAGAATCTGAAGATCGGAAGATCTGCGATTTCCGCATTTCTGTCAAAACTGCGGCTTCCGGCTTAAAGCCGGAGATCATCGTCCCTGGTAGGAAAACTGTCAAATGATTACCAATTGACCCAATAGCAGGAATTATTGAGATCAAAAAAGAAACATTGATCGATCCTGTAATTATGCCAAAGGTTAAGCCTAAATTAAAAGCTTCATTGATAAAACTTCAACAAGAGAAACAATATCGGGATAAAATAAATTTTTTACCTTCACACCCGTACCCAAAACCGAAAGATAAGCACAAGTCTACTTTTGTTAAACCACCACCTACACCACCTTATAATCCCGAGGATAAAATATTGTTAGTAGGAGAAGGTATGATTGATAAAATGTTTCCTTCCTTTTTTTGTTTTTCACCAACCTTTTTTTTTTAAAAAAAAAAAAAAATAATTGATTAAATATATAGGAAATTTTAGTTTCGCAAATTCATTGGCAACAAATATTCTTCATACAAGTCATTTTATCATAGCAACATGTTTGGATTCGGAGGAAATTTTAAATAAAAAATATGATGATGCAAAATTACATATACAATCATTTATTGAGTACGGTGGGAAAGTAATTTATGAAGTTGATGCCACTCAACTGGAAAAATGTAAATTATTAAAAGGTAAAAGATTTGATAAAATCATATTTAATTTTCCTCATGCAGGTAATTTAAAAACTATTTCCCATAATTTTTTTTTTTTTTTTTTTTAAAACAAATAAAATTTCATTGAATTTTAATTTTTTTTTTTTTAAAAAAAAAATAGGATTGGGTATTAAAGATCAAGACAGAAATATTTTATCGAATCAAAAATTATTAAAAGCATTTTTTAATTCGGCAATACCATTTTTATCATCAAAATCACTTTATTCGGACATGAATGATGGTGAAATACACGTAACAATGAAAACGGTTGAACCATATAATCAATGGAATGTTAAACAATTAGCTAAATCTACGGGTCATTTGGCTATAAAAGAATCTATTGATTTTATTCCAAATCAATATCCTGGTTATGAACATAGGAGAACTTTAGGTTATCAACAGGGAAAAAGCAAAAATGATAATGATGAAATCTTATCTAAAAAACCTAAAACTATTATTATTGCTAGAAAAGAAACTTTGGAATTAGAAAAGCAACAAAGAGAAGCTGCTGAGAATAGTGATGATTATGATGATAAAATAAAAGTAAGCGGTAGAAAGAAAAAGAAATTTGATGTTAACAGGAGAGGAAAGAATTAAAAGGTCTTATTTCGAAACAGTTACTTTTTTTATCTATTAAATAATATATTACTAGGAAACGGAAACCGTTGTAAAGTCCGGAGTTTTATTATTTCATATAAATATGCGGATACAAAATCAACAATCAGTACTTTTTGTAAAAAAAAATAGAAAAAAGATCAGGTGTAATAATCATTTTAAAAAATTTTATTAAAATTTTTTCAATAAAAAATAAGGCGCACATTTTGTGCGAGTACATATACGTTTCATTTTAATTAAATTAATTCATTTTCAAATAAAATTATAAATTACAAGTTAAGCTCAACCATATCCTCATCGCTATTTGCAAAAGGAGAACATTAACAATAGTTGTTTCGTTGTTGCTCATTTTGAAAAAAAATTTTCATGAATGTGCGAGTACATATACGTTTCATTTTTAATTAAATTAATTCATTTTCAAATAAAATTATAAATTATAAGTTAAGCTCAACCATATCCCCTCATCGCTATTTGCAAAATGAGAACATTAACAATAGTTGTTTCGTTGTTGCTCATTTTGAAAAAAAAATTTTTGAAAATTGCGGCATTTGTAAATAAATGTGCATGTTGTTTCTTCTTTCAATCGAGGAATGCGTAGGGTGTTCTGGACTAAATTAAAAAATAATTTAGATAAAACCGCAGTTAAAATTCCCTTATAGAGAATTTTGAACCTATTAAAAAAAGAAAAGTTGGTGAGCAAAATAAATTACTCAGTAAGTGAAGGGGAATGATTCAAATGAGTGCCACCTCACGCATTCATATAAGTTCTCATTCGTATGAATATAACTAGGTATGATTTCGACTACCCTTGAACATAAAGCTTCCGTAGAAACGAGAGATCACAACTAAATTATAAACAGGGACCGCAGGAATAAACTGTTTCAATGTTTAATTATCAGTACTCTCAAAGTATCTCACAACTGGCCAGGTATTCCTAAGACACCAGAAGCATGTATAAATAGACACAATGCAACCAGATAAAAAGACATTTACTAAGCAAACCATATGAGAATTATAACCACGATTCGTCCAAGACTACTGCAGTGAGGCTGCCTAACAGCGAAACGATTCATCCCTTATACATGACTACTGTAGTGAGACCCTTACTTACGTTTATTTTTGTTGTTCTTATTTTTCGAGAACAATTTTTTCGTTCGTTTTTGTCCCGTTTTTGTCCCGTTTTTTTTTTTTTTTTTTGACAAGCTTTCAATTCTGTTGAGGTTTGTTCGTGAATAGGAATCTGTGCGTTTGAGAATTTAATTTTCTTTGTATTATGTTCTTCGTTATTGAATATGTCTCGGTATTGGTTAAAGTTCATGTTTGAAGAAGAAAAATTTATTTTTTTAATGCGCCTATTTATACAAAACATATGCCGGATACAAAATCAACCAATCAAAAATCACGCGTGCGTACAACCGGATATCGCCACGCGACTACCTTGCATAGAGTTTACGACTAATATTTATAAAATTTTGTATAAAAGACAAACCTTTAATAAATTTAATACATTAAGCTAGAATTCAATTATGGTAGTAGGATTAATAATATATAGATAGTGTTACATAATTGAAATTTCTTTAAACTTAATAAACTTTTATTGTTGGAAATAAATCATATTAGAAGCCAAGCATATTAAATTTTTTTTTTCCTTTCTAAATCTATTGGAATATAAATTACGTTCTATATACGTTACCAAATCTATGCTCTTTTAGATAATCTCCACCACATTCTTGATATTCTTGACGGGTTACTGCATATTTATAAAAATCCTCTGTATTAGCCCACAATGCGGCACCGCGCCATGCATCAAGTACTGGATCTTTAGCATGAACTATTTTTAAAGATGCGTCTGAAGGCAATATAGATTTAAGTGAAACCTCTAATCGAGGTAAAAGTCCTGGTGTTTGCGTATGGCCACCTGTAACGAATACAGACTAACAACATATTGTAATAAATAAGGAATATATATTAGTATGAAAGGAATTTCACTAAAAATAAAAAGACATCTTTAAGCTACTTTCTTACCTTAACCATCTGTCGGCGGTCGTCAGGGTCAAACCTGTTAACAATGTCTCCAATAGTTTCAACCACACCGGCCTGATCTAATCCAACTATACTAGGTTGAAACAATGCCTCGGGTACTCTTATTCTCTCTATATTAACATGTAACTGATGCATTTGTCCAAAATTTTCTGGGTCATATGGAGGAGAAATTCCTCGTGTCAACATATAAACGAGGGAATTTTGCTGTGAATTTTTTGCATCAAATGTATGCTCCGGTAAAAACGCGGGATCATATTGAAGGAGTTTGCCTTCATACTCTCTTAATTGCGTTAATTCCTCCTCTTCTTCCCACGCATCTTCCTCTTTGCTCTATTATAAGAGGGCGGCGAGGATTCAACATTTAGTTATATAAATGAAATTTAAACCGAATTTCAAGCAGAGACACTTACAATTTCCTTGTAAATAGACCAATCATTATCATCCATTCCAAAAGTGTCCTCTAATATTACGTAGAACGTTAGATTAAACGTTATTTTAATCACATTGAAAAAGATTATAAGGTTAATCAGACATTACCATCTTGTCCTCGTCTTCGCCTTTTTTGCTGTGGTGCATCACTTGCCAAGTTAGCTATTGATTTCATTCGCAGTTGTGAGGCGTGACTCCTACGATCCAAGAGTTGTTCTTTTTTCCTTTTCAAGCTTTTTACTTTGTCTAATTGGCCCTAGAAAGGAATTGAAATTGAACTAATTGAATTAATCCTCTAAATAACTATCATCAATCAATATAAACCTGGTTTGTCACTCTTACCTCATAACTACTCTTTAGTTCATTTAACCAACCTTCAAAATCATTTATTCGTCTCTGTTCCTCTGCGCGCTCTTCCTCTTCCTAATTAAAGGGTAGGTATTAGACATAAAATTTAAAATTCACAAGCATAATATAATTATTTCAAAGACATGAATGAAGCTTACTTGTTGGCGCTTGGCCAATTCTTTAGCTTCCTTTTGCCTTTGACGCGTTTCGTAAAGGCTTCTGGCTGCGATTTGTTTCTTTTTCTCTTTTTTCTCTGCATCATTCAATTGATCATCTGGGATATCCACTAGTGGAAAAGTTGGTTCTTCCTAATATTTATGTTATAAAGATTATTATTATTATTTTTTTAAAAAAAAAATTTAAATAAAGTTAAAATTATTCACGACTAGAAATCGGTCTAACCTTGATTTCTACTTCATCGATACCCAACAATTTGTTTCTTGCACGTTGGACGGATTTTTCGGTTTTTTGAATAATCTCTTCTAACTCTGCTTCATCGCCTACTCTATTATCCTTTAATTTTGCCTAAAAAATAACCTCCTTTAAATAAATTGTTTCAAATTTTTATTACTATATTCTTACTTTTTTCTTCTTTGATATAATACCTACCATCCATTCCGACCTCCTCATTGATAATCTGCTTTCTCTAAGTTGAACGTAAGATTCCAAATTGTTTTCGAGATCTTTCAACTAAAGTACAAATAATCAATGTAATATTATCCATAATAAAAATTACTGAAGTAGATTGGATATAACATTACATTTACCTTTTGCATACGTATTTTAGCTGCTTGTTCCTTTAGACGACGCGCCTGTTCTTGCCTTCTCTCCTCTTGTCTAGCCAATTCTTCTTCCGTCTTCTCATTAGCCTACGATACAAATAACGATCAATTTAAATTATAATCAATAAAATAAAATTAAATAGAAAAATTATAAAGATCATGTTGATCGAGCCTTATTTACCGGTGGTACATAGGGGAATTGAATTATACGGTCTTTATCAGCAAAAGTGACTGGATTGGAGTATTCTTTTAATTCTTTAAAATAATCTTGCGCAACATAGGTATAGTTATGCACAAGGTGCTATTTTCACGGTACCAAACATAAGAACCAAATCTTTCGTTAGAGCTATTTTAATATAATTCTAGTGATTAAACGTACAATGCGGAACAAATTTGAACATCCAAGCTTAATTAATAATCCATTAGATTGGAGTGATACTAACTTGTGCTTGATTGATGGTCATTTTGGTTGGAAACGTGGGATACTTCAGTTGCATCAATTTAAGCATGTAATCAGTAGCCGTTAATCCACCATATGATATCCTATATGGGTAATTTATTAAAATAATTATTATTTAACATAATATTTCAAAAACGAACAAGCAAAAAACATCAAGCCAAAACATAATTATTTGATTCACATAAATACCTTTTAGTATGTTCTAATCTGCCATGACCTCCGAACACAGGTATAACGTGAGTTGTGGTATGACCCGAAGAAAGGACGATTCCGCCTTCGTCAAACGAAAGGTTATTTGCATGAAAACTAAAAAGTGCGTCTATGCCATAGCACACAGACGGAACTCCGTAACACTCAAACAGCAATTCCGACATCACTGAAAGAAAAATGTTCACTCTTTAATAATTAATTAACGAAGTAGTATTGACATTAAATGCAAAAGTTGTTATATTTTGACTCACGTTTTCTTGAATGATTTGGATTACAAACAGGTTCGGTCATCAATATCGGATGATATACCTTGTCAGTATTGATGCCAAGTTTGTAAAAGACATAATCCAAAATATATTCCTAAACGAATTAACAGATGTTAAAAATAATACCAGTTAAAATTGTTTCTTTAGGATCTTGATTCTTACCATGGTTTCAAAGTTATATACCACATTTCCGTCAAATGCCGTCTTCGCATTTGATTTCGCTGTAGCATCCGTATAAATGTCATTGCCCACCAACAAGATACTTTGATTGATTTTTCGATCCCTATATTTTGATACCATGCTATCGAATTGTACTAAAATCGAAGATGGAAATTACGAAATTAATAACAATATTTTAAATTTAAATAAGATGTATCATACTTACATCTTGGAGAATCTTCGTTCGCCCACCCTACACGACATTGATATGATCCTAAAATAATAGTATGTTAAAAATTTTTTTTTGATTAGAAAACAAATACTTTTTTAATATAGTTCTTGAAAAGATGAGTTTCTCTTGGTGCCAGCGGGCTTTAGCCTTCACGCCCTTTCTTTCACAACATATAACTTTCTTTTTTATTTTTTATTTTTTTCTTAGGCTTGCAAGCTATCATTAATAATAAACTCAACCTTTCGATAAATAAAACTTGTGAAAAAAAAAAAAAAAAAACCAAAAAAAAAAAATCTTGTAAATACCCACCGTTATCAATAATAAGCGGTATCCCTGTATTAAAAGCGACAGTTTCATAGTCTGTTGCAGTATGGTTTGGAGTAAAATTCCTTCTCTCGGCAATGTTCTTAATTTTTGTTTGTAGAGTATCTATTGACATTTTATTTATTCAAACGACGTTGTTTCAAAGTTGATCGTTTTACGCTCTTATTTATTAAGGAAACTGACAAACTATATCGCTACTATATTAAGAGTTAGTGAGAACTCACAACTTGGGTTTTCAATAACGAAACGACACTAATAAATAGATTATGATGATATTTTTGATTTTCTCAAAATAATTAATTTAGATTAATGAATATCCATTTTTATTATTATTATGATAATCATTTAATATTTATCAAACGAAAGAATACCGATACGCTTTCTTCCAAGTCACGTGGACAAGCCACCTAATGAAAAAATTATGTATATGATCTAATGAAAATTTTTTTGCCAAGGAAGGCTTAAACACGATAAACACAAGCTGTTTGCACTATCAAAAGAAATTTGGCAGTTTGTATCTATTAACCACATCAATTGATTTATTCTGGAGAAATTAAATAAAGTAATTAAAATATCGTAGATTAAAAAAAAACTTTAAATTTATTTTCCACAAAAAGGTGTTCTACATGAAAATTAAAATTAAACCGTGAACAAATTTGTTTTTGGATCTAAGATAAACACGAGAAAATAAAAGTGAAGAAATCTTTAAAACATAAATTTTTCTCATAAATGGCTCAGAAGATGGATCGCATTATTTTTTTTTTTTATTTGAAGAATGTCAGAAAAGGATCGGCAGATAAATTTACCAAAATTCGAGTCTGGGTGTCGGATGTGAACATTGTTCTAGTCGATCACAATTTGAACCACAAGAATTTTAAGCCTCCTCTTCGAAACGATCACTTCCGATAACAATTTTTTTTGTTCTCTTAACCAGTATTTTATAAACTTCAAAGTATATAAAAAGATCAAATATGATGCTTTATTTATCAAGTAGTCCTCGTAATGCAACGTTTTTACGTTTTACTCACCTTACCACCTTGGTGGTTTTGTGTTTAACTATTTTTACTAGCAGTTTTTCTTCAAGTCTTTTTGTAAAAGCTGAAGAACAACAACAACCATGTACTATTACTAATGATACAAGCTATTATGATTTAAGTCCTTTGAAAAAAACTGAAGGGTAAACTTTCCTCAAAGGTATAATCGTGGTTTTTTTGAAAATTTTATCCGTATTTATTTTTTTTCCTTCTTTTAATCATTAAAGAGATGATTGGATTGTTAAAGGATACGAAACAGATTGGAAATTTCGCATAAATATTTGTAATGATGTTTTATATAAGGGTGATCCGAATACTGACCTTAAAAATACTGGTGTTTATGGTTCAAAGAATGATGTAGGAAATAGTTTGGGGTAATTAAAATTTTAATTTATAAAATTTTCCATTTAGATTTTTTATAAAGTTAACTTATTTATTTAATTTCCTTAATAAAGTCAAACCTCTACTAATCCTATTATCCGAGGTAATTAAAAGTTGAGTTTTTGAAATTTAATAATTATTCAAGATAATTAAGTGTAATTTTTACCATTCTTTTTTTAGGGGATAGTCTTATAATGGAATTCAATAATGGTAATGACAAATGTGGTACCACGAATTATAGAAAAACGTCCGTTATTTCCTTTATTTGTGATAAAACCGTTGAGGGTCAAGTAAGATTTTTTTTAAGTTTAATGATTCCCATTTTATTCTCATTTTCCTTGCTCATTCCTATTTTTTAAAAAAATGATCTTCTTATATATATATAGGGACAACCATCATTTATTTCAACCTATAGGGATTGTGGATTCTTTTTTGAATGGAGAACTCCTGTCGCTTGTTCAACCACGAAAAAAGGTGAAGGCTTGGGAGGATGGAATGTCTTCTTAACAATGTTGGTATATCTTAATTCATTTGAATTTTTTGATTTATATCGTTAATCTTTGTTGATAATTTTTTTTGTTCTTTTTTTCTTTTCTTTTCTTTTAAAAAAAAAGTTTCGTCATTGCATTAATCGTGTACTTTGTTGGGGGTATCGTTTATAACCGAATGGTTCATAATGCTTCTGGAATGCATCAAATCCCAAATTGGGAATTCTGGTGTAACACGTGGGATTTCCTCAAGGTAAAGAGAAATCTTATTATTTATCATGATTTTATTAATTATTTATTAACAAGAATATCACATTACGTAGGACATGTTTTTTATAATAATGGCACAATGTCCCGTTTTTAAACCAAGGAGATCTGGAGGAAGAAATTACAGGAATTTGCCAAGAGATGAAGAAAATGTTTTGATGGAAGACGAATTTGATGAGCATTAAAGTAGATTTATTTATATATAAATATATATATAAAATTGTAAATTTTCATTGTATTAATTTTTAGAAATAATCATCATGATTATATTTAAATTCGCAAAAGGTATACCAGGCTACTTTTACAAGTAACAATGCTTGTTATAATTACATTTTCGGATATTCAATATTTAGACCCGAAATAATGTTATTACAATGTATCGAAATCCTCCGGGATTCCAAATTGTTGGTTGAAATCGGCACGTTCAATATTGAACTTATTGGAGCAATAAGATTGGAGTATAATGATATTTTCTAGTGATAAAAATAGAAATTTATATATTGTATATCAATTCCTTTTTTTTTTTTTAGCACAAAAAAAAAAAATAAAAAAAAAAAATCAAAAAATATACCTGTCCAACGATTACCGCATTCCAATGCAAGCTCGCCGTGCTTTTCTATATGAAACAATTGAACATTAAATATATAAACTAAATAAAAAAAACAATATATATTTGAAAATACCCTTAGCATCCAAAAGTGCGGGATCACATTCTCGATAATGTGCCAATTCTTCTTGATACTTTTTGGTAATCATCTCCACTTCTGCTACCTTTTTCAACAATATAGCTCGATCATCCTTGAACAAATAATTGAATCATGCATAGAAATTTAATGATTGATAATGAATGGATTAATAAAGTAACGGTTAATAGTAATATTTACAGTGGTTTCGCGTCCACCATATGCTAACTCAATACTTGATTGTAATTCAACATTTTTTGCTTTAAGTTTTTGGAGTTCCTGAGTAAGCCCTTCAATCTTAACTGTGCGCTAAAAGATCAAAGGAAGGAATGACATCGTAAGAGCACAACACAATTAAGTAATTATCCAAATCGATCATATAATCCATCCTACCGATTGAAGAGCACAACTTGGAAACGACCAATAGTAATTTGAGGTACCAATCTTATCCGTCGTTACAAGATCGTCATCTACTAAACTTTGCAGAATGTCTTTCACTGATTGCGAAACTTTAAAAAGGAATTCACGATTAATCACTTAATCGGACGATTCAGATGGGAACAACTTGAGAAATATTTACCGATCCCTTTCATCTTTGGGGCGATTTTTTCCAACTCTTTGAGTTGATAAAAGTTCTTCTGTATATTTGATTAGATGATATGTTTTTTTATTTTATTTTATTTTTTTTTTTTTAAAAAAAAAATATAAATATATAACGATGATAATGATTAATGACATTGATAATGATGATGATAATGGGAGTTGATTGTAAAAGACGGCGTACCGTTTCGTGAAATAATGCTTCAAGCCTTATGCGTTTTTCTGCCACGGATAACCCTTTCTTCGACTAGTTAAGAGTGATTATTATTATTATTTCAATTTTTTTTTTTTTTTGTATTAAACAAGAAATACTCGAAATAACACGAATTTTTTAATTTTACCATTACTATTATTATTAAATTAAAAAAAAAAAAAAATGATATTGGGAAGGAAAATTTTTATACGCGTTTTTTAATATTTATAAATAGTTTTAATCACGTGCAAATGGTGATTACGTAACATTCAACTCGTGTAACGAGGCTGTTTATAAATAGGGCAGGAATTTTTTTTTTTTTTTACTTCTTCTCAAATTATGGGTCGAGCGAAAAAAAAAAGCTTTATGTCATTACCTACCAAACCCTATAAAAAAAATAAAAAAAAGGATGATAAAATCGAAACACCCAAAGAACAATCATTAGATGTTCCCTCACCAAAAGTGGATGAGATTCCTACAAAAAAAAATTACACGAAAATTAAAATATCGGAACCTTTACAGCGAAAAGGTGAATATTATAGACCAATCCTCCTTTTTATGTCAAAATATCAAAATATTTATTTTTTTTTTAAAAAAAAAAAAAGATGTACGAAAAAGAAAACCACAACGTCCCGCAACCGTAACAACAGATATTTATGTTTCTACTAGATCAAATTTTAATGGACAATTATTTAGAGCCAAAAAACTTTTAATGACAGATGGGTAATCTTAAAATATTTATTTATTTATTATTTGATTTTTAATTTATTTATTTACTTACATATATTTATGTAGTCATCCTTCAATAACAATTCATGGATTAGGAGCAGCTATACAAAAGTCAATTAATTTAGTTTTAACTTTAAATGATATAACTCATAATCAAATAACTTATAAAACTACAACTAGCACAGTGCAAATAGTTGATGATATTATACCGGATGATGATGTAAGTGGCAATCATTAAAAAGTTCCTTCATTATAATTAACGCAATGTTTTTTTATTATTAAAAGGATAAAGATATTGAATCACAGACCAGACATAATTCTGCTGTTCATATTCAAGTTTCTCTAAAGGAAGATGTTAAAAGATATGTTTCGAATAAAAGGAACTTTCCATCCGCTAAAAGATAATTACTAGAGTTATGTTTCATGGCAAAAATATTGTTCTTATAAAAACAATTTATTTCTTTCTATATATATATACCAAGGCTAATTATTTAAATGATCCCAGAACGTACCTTTGATATGTATATAAAATGAATAATAACGTAAAACAAGATTAGTTATATTAGTTATACATTGATACTAATTTTTTTTTTTTTTTTTTTTTTTTTTTTTTTTATAGAAAAAAAAACTATTAAGATTTAAATACCAGTAGTAAATATAATACATGAATATGAAGATAGGGTATATAGCAATCCGGCAAAAGGAAAAATAAAAAAATCAATTTCTAGTTGATTTAGTGTATATTTATATACACGTAAAAAAGAATATAAAATGTTTATCCAATCGACAAGATTTACTTGAATTCTTGTGTATATTATAATAATTATTTTTTTTTTTCTTATTTGTAAGATAAGACGAATTTGATGTAGTTTTTTTCCACATAATTGAAATTAACTATTATCTGAGAAAAACATCTAAACTCAACACAGCAATTCAGAATTCATTCAGACCAATAAGAATCGTCATCATCATCATCATTATCCCAATCCTCCTGAGGTTCCATTTTCACCTTAACATCATACTCCTGAGGTTCCATTTTCACCTTAACATCATACTCCTGAGGTTCCATTTTAACCTTAACATAATCCTCCTTGGGTTCCGTTTTTACCTTCACATAATCCTCCTTGGATTCCGTTTTAACCTTAACATAATCCTGGGGTTCTATTTTAACTTGATCATCATCGTCATCGTCATTATATCCACTTACACTACTCGAAGTTTCATTTTTACGATAATTTTTAGATGTTCCATTGATATTTTTAACATTTCCATCGGATGATATTTCTTTCTTTTTTAGGTGAACTGTCAAAAATTTATTCATTGTAAAACTATGGATTCTATCCTGGTTAAATATGGTCATTAATCTATCATCACAAACGATAAATCGCTTATCAGAGGGATCCTGGAGCTCATTTTCCTTGATATATGCCCAAAGACGTTTAACTACTTCAAGTCGTGACATCTAAATAAACATTTGAATGAGTCATTTTTTTTTTCCTTATTTTTTTTTTTTAAAAAAAAAAAAACTCCCTCCTTTTGAAAATTTGTATTAATTACCTCCTCAGCTTGTAAAAATTCTGCCAAAACCTGACTTAATATCAAAGGCTTATGGATTCCGGTATTGCCTTTTTTTCTTTTCTTTGGTTCTTCACCGTCCTGTTCTTCCTCGTCCCTCTTTTTTCGTTTACTCGATTTCTTTTTAGTGGTGGAACCACTATTTCTTGCTTTTGATTTTTTCACATTCGCTCCATTCAATTCTTCCTCAAATCTCTTTTCGTATTCAGCATCAGATGATTCTACTTTCGAAGAAACTTTTGGTTTCCGACCACGTCTCTTTTTTTGTGGTGGGAAATCGTCCTCCAGGGACGAATAATAATCGGATTCTTGAGTTTTAACTTGCGTTTTAGAAGGCCTACCTTTAGTTTTAAGAATTTTCCTTGAAGATTTATCAGATGATTTTTTCGTTTTTTCTTCAGAATGATTGCTATGTTTCTTTTGTTTTTTAGGCGATTTGAATTCTACTGGTTCATATATTTCATCAGAATTACTTAAATCATCAAAACACTGTTCAACGAGACGTTGTACTTCTTGCTTGCGAGGTGTAAGATCTAAATCATACTTCTTTTCCAGCTCCCGTCGTACTTCCCTAGCAGTAATTGAATCAAGATTTGAATCATAAAGTATTTGCCTGATGACGGGAACAAAGTCTGATAAGTTGACATCATCCATGTTTCGTAATGTCAACCACAACTCTTGTTATCGTTTTTTAACTTGTCCTTATAAGAAAAAAATTGTATATCTAAGAGATAGCGAAACGAAAGGGGTCGCAACAGAAAAGTAACAGGATACAGCTTTAAAAAAAAAAAAAGAAGGCGAAAGGAAAAAAAAAAAAAGCTATTATCCTTCGTGATGAAAGAAGTAATTGTGAAATAATAATTTTTTGATTTTGAAACGAAATTTTTAATACATTTTTTCTTTAATTTATTTGGGTATATTTATATAAAAAATTCGCATGAAGCCACATAAAGCAAATATTTTGTTAATCATGTGTAATGTCATGCGTCACACTGCATCTCTGCATTCCGTGGCAGTGTATTAATCAATTTATTTGTTCATGATGAATGAACAGTCAAATGTTTTTGGTAATGAGTTGAAATTAAATTAAAAAAAAAAAAAATTATAAATAATAGAAATTCTTTTTTTAAAATAAATAAAT